AGTTATTGGATCTTAAGAAAACAAAAAAGAACTAAAACATGATGTTTATGTAGGAGAAATAGCAATATAATAAAAAGTGGAATAGAGAGTGGTACAGAGTGTGAGACAGAAGATCCGTTGCGCCAATGAACCCGATGCTTGTTTTCCGCGCTCTCATGTATGATCATATTTCACCAAAAAATAAGAAGAATGCATTAAAAAATTACAAAAGATCCTATGTCCTATTTTCTAGCTCACATAGTACTAAAAGAGTAATTAATGAAAGAAAAAAATTATAGAATTACATAGGCCTAACTCCCTTTGAGCTCACGTAAGTACAAAGAGAAATTTTGAGGAGGCCTTGATTTAATAATTAAAATTGATACCTTAGCACTAGAGGTTCAGAGTTCTAATTTTCATATCCCTTCCCCATTTCTTAAATTCCATTCTTCTCCTTTTTTTTGTAAAATGAAAAAAGTACAAAAAGAGAAAAAGCAAATGACCAAGTTAGTCATACGGACCTAACTGAAAACATTTTAATCAAATTTGTGGGGTCGAACTAAAATGACAGAAAGTTAGTGGCACAATTTAAAAATAAAAGAAACTAGAGGGACTGATATGTAATTTCAGAACTGTGCTTTCATGTCCCAAGTTTGGTCAGACTCAAGACTTTTAGTCATATTAATCATCACCATGCACATGGAATCCTCGATACCACTTTTCAGTAGCAACTCAGTGACAATTTCTATATTTATGCAAAATGTCCTGTTATTTAAGCTATCATGTGTTATTTATTTAAGTTTTCTTTATCTTCACATGATAAGTGGAACTGACACTGGATTTGACATCGATTAGTGATACAAAGGACCTCACCTAATCACCGTCAGTTCATCGCATAGACATACCAACTTGAAATGTGTGTTAAGAAAAATGAAAAGCAATGGAAAACATATATATGTACGACAAAATTATGGGAAAATTGACGAATAATCATGCACTCGACCCCTGAACTTGGGCCCATGTAACACTTTGCCCCTTAAGTTCCAAATATATATACTTTACCCCTTGCGGCCAACTTTTTGACGGAGTTAAGATGAAGTTATATTTTTCATGATCAAAATATCCCCGCCTAATTCTTAAACACACATAATAATTGTAACATAATAAATACCTATATCCTTAATAGTTGCTAAATGCATTTAAACACAATTACACTATACATTTCTATCTTTTAGTACAAAAATGAATTAGATAACTCACAAAAAGAAGTCTAAGCAACTCAATGTGTTTATCTCAATGCCGATAACAATACTTATTTTGAATAATATAAAATTAATTAGTGCATTTGGAATGAAAATTATTTGCTTATATTTTTTTATTGTAGCACTTTTTAATGTGTTTTATATGAGATAAAAACATGATTAAAAATACAAAATGTATTGAAAAACATATTTAGAGAATTTTTGTTTTTTTTAAATGTAGAATGCAAATTAAGTACAAGGCAAGGTATGAATGTGGTATAAAATTATCAAATAGCATCTTATTGCCCCATAAAATCTTGTAAAATTGCAAAGTAAATGAAAATTATCAAAACTAATCCATTTACAATTTAAAGGAAAAAAAGATAAGTGATGGAAAACTTGTGCAAATGCTTTAGCAATTTTAAATTCTTTTTTCACCACAATACAATTTTTCAATTCTTAAGCATTAATTATACCATCTTTTATTTTTTATTTTTAAAATCATATGAGCTTGTGTTTTCTCTAATAAAAAGTTTCATATTCCAATTAAAAGTATAGCATTGTTCTAAAACTATTATGTAAGCACATTAATGTTATTTTATTAAAATTTTGGATGCAAAATTCATCATTAACGTTTGACCTAGTCAATGAAGGGGGAAAAGTGTATATATTTAAAGTTCAGGGGGCAAAGTGTTATAAAGGTTAAGTTCAAGGGGGCAAACTATAATTAACCCATTCATATATTCCGCAGAAGATATCTTACAGTGCTTGTCAGTTGAAGATTGAGATGGTAGCGGTGAAGCGATTTCCGGTTACGGCCAAACCAGCTCTTCCCTTGGTTTGCTTTTCACTCTGATTTTCCTCTTCTTTTCTTGCCTCCCTCTTAATGCGTGTGTTTATGTCTTTTCCTGATGAAGATCGATGTTACCAAGTTTTAAATGAGTCCACGAACCAACCGAATGTATTCAGCATAGAAATAGACGGCAGCACTGCCCAACTCTCCAACTCCCCACCCTGGCTTTCAGTTTCACCCAATAAAACCATAAAAAAAATATAAAAAAAAAAAACCAAAAGGGGGCTTTCTTCCAGCTAAAGAGACAAACTTATGAAGGTAGTTTGAAACAAAATCAGCAGAATTGGACAAAAATATCAAAAACCAAATAAAGCACCTGGCTTTAAGCAACCAATTAGCACATACGCAAACATCTAGCAAATTCGTCAAACAACATAATCCAGTATTACTTAAGTGACAAATCCAAGTCCAGCTAAGATTTTTCTATTTCCCAAAGTCAAATGGTTCTTGTACCTCTGGTCATCAACTGCAGCGGCAACAGATGCAATCGGTGGGCTATAAGAGAGCAAAGTTTTAGGAAAAGGACCTCCACTTCCTGCTGCCTGTGCAACAAATACTCCACCTTTAACCGCTGCAAGAAGTGTAGCGTCAAAAGGGTTCTAGAAGGCAGTCTTTGTGGTTATGAGAATTTGAGGATGTCCACGCCACCGTGCACGGCCTATTAAAAGAAGGTAACTTGAATCAGAACCTCTAGGCCATTCACATATGCAAGTTGGATATGCTTGATATTGATTGACTTCACAATCTCGCGATAATTACAAAGAAGAAGAAGTAAACCAGAATTCCCATACATGAGCTCTTTAAGGATGCAGAAGTCGTTTCACAACAATGCCTTTTACCTACTGCAGAGTTGTATATACTTTCCCTATCTTGTGTATTCAGCCGAGATGAAGGAAATAATTGACGACTAATCATTCAGGTGTTTTTTTTTTTTTTTTTAAATGCGACTATCAGCCATGTAAACTGATCTTTGCAACTCAACCACCTTCTTTGAATCTTAGGTTAGAAATGGAATACGGAAATGGAAGACTAGAGACTAAGCATGTGCAAGAACACGACTTTCATTGTTTTAGGTAGTACTCCCTCCGTCCCACTTTGATAGTCCTGTTTCTTTTTTCACACAGTTTAAGAAAAAGTAGTTAATTTTGTTGGAAAAGTAAATTTAGATTGCTATTTTCCTAAAATACCCTCACATTAAATAGAGTACAACTTTATGGGAACTTGAATTGATGGTAAAAAAAGAATCAACTCTCATTAAATGGGGTAGGTTTATAGCAACAACAACTTGTATTGAATAAGGGTATTTTAGGAAAATGAAAATACAACTACATTCTTCAATTGGAAAGTGGACTGCAATTTGGGACAGACAAAAAAGGAAAACAGGACTATCAAAGTGGGACGGAGGGAGTATTATATTGCTTCCATTGACTTTATAGTTGATACCAAGCATTGATTAGCTGTTGAGAACTGAACAAGTATTAGCATGAAATGACGACCCTTCCCTGGTTAATTAACTATCAGCCATGCGAACTGATGTTTGCTACTCAACCACCGCCCTTGGATTTTTTTTATTTGAAATGGAAAACAAGATTTGAGACCAGACCAAGCATATGCACCAGCACGACTTTCATTATTTTACACGACTTCGTATTATGCAGAGGATCCAAAGCATTGATTCGCAGTTGAGAATTGAACAAATTATTAGCATGAAGTAAGTCTCCCTGGTTAAAACCTTCAGTGGGGCTAAGATTCCAATATAAACTACAGTTTTCGTAACCATCAGCCATGTGAACAGATGTTTGCACCAACGGGTGTTCACACTATGGAAAAAAACCGAGTAACCGGCCAATCCAATTTAGATATAAAATTGGATATCGGTAAGACAGAATTCGTGAAAACCAATTAAGATCCAATTTCAAAATTTGGTAAAATAGTTTTGGAATGGATATTGAAATTCAATTTTGAATTCCCAATTACCGACTGAATTATCAAATTTCATATTTTAATTAAATATTTTATATATTTCATGCCCACTAATATATCATATTACATATTAATGTATTAGTCAATATAAGTTATAATTTATGCTTATAAATAAATATGTGACCTTAAAAGCGTATTAATTAACATATTAATAACTTTATATTGTTAATTACATATTAATTATACTTAATTAATCTATATTAGAAAATCAATCTAAAACTTTGGGTATTTTACCTGGATACGGGCTATTCAGCTGAAATCCAATTACCAAATAAAGGTTTGGATAGTCCTAGGACGTTGACCTTGTTGAAAAAAATTGAAAAAAAAAATCAAAAATTTTTTTGCCGAATTACCAGCCGATGAATATCCTTATCCGCAACTCAACCAGTTGAATTGGATTTCGCAACGGATCTTCTGTACCACATCCTGTCTCACATTCTGTCCCACTCCTTAGATTCTTGTCAAGTGTCCCTTAATAAACCAAACCCTCAAACAACCCAACTCATTAATTAACTTAATATGGTCCGAGTTGGGTTGTTTGAGGGTTTGGTTTATTAAGGGACACTTGGCGAGATTCTAAGGAGTGGGACAGGATGTGATACAGAAGATCCATTGCAAGGGCAAAGGTGCTTAAAGAAAAAGAACTTCATTTACTTAGCTGGAAGAATTACGAAAGGCTAATTCTTAAGGCAAATATTGAAATCTAAATAATCATGCTTTGACTTTTGCCAAAATATATTGAGAAGGATGACACATTCAATTTTTATGGCCATTAGGCTCATTAAATACTATCCGATCAAATAAATCCTCCAAACATATCAATAAATTGCATTAAATCAGCAAAATAGTCCCCATTTGACAAGATCAAAAACCAATACATATGTTTAGTCCCTATGAGTATATATAATTACATAAAAATAAACTGAAAAAAAAAAAGAAGGTCCTTGATGATGAAAGGCAACTGTAATTCAATTTCTTCAAACAAGCATTCTCAAAACACATCTATCTACAAGCATCGTCTTTCTCCAGTTCATAAATTCAAAATAAATTAATATCCATTAATAGTAAAAGCTAATATCCAAGTGCCAAAGGCAATCAAAAAATGAATCACCTTGCTATATTAGTTCCAAAGTTCAAAAGCATAAAATAGAACATGAAATTGGGAAAGCTCCAATGGAAGGCAAAGCTTGGCCTTAAACTTCTTGCTTGTGACGAACAAAATCTCTAAAGTTTCAATTGAGCCTTGCCTGTTTTATATAGGCCTGGAAAAAGGCAAGAAAAATGGTCTCAGAAGACAAGAATCAAACATGATTTCCTAAATAGAAATTGGCATCAAATCACTGCTAACATTGAAAACCTAAGCAGAAGGAATAAACAGAAATAAAGGGAATTTCAGGTCACAACGAATAGAGAAAATGGATAGGTTGCTGAAAATTCATAAAATAGACTTACGAGCGATCATGGGAAGTATAAAGCAGAGTAGTCCAAACCATGCTCATCATGTCGTCAAATCTGAACTCCTGATAAGGACTTTGACTTCCCCAGTGGCCTCCCCAATCTCTTTGGCCGACTCTTCTACAGATTGTGCACAGAAATTCACTTCAATCATTTGCAATGAGAGTATTTCCGCAAGATCCAACGGAATTTCCTCAAGGTCATTGCAATTTTGCAGGACAAGTCTTTCAAGTCTAGGGAGGTGGTCACAAGAGGCATTCCATTGGACAATGTCCAGAGTGTCTAAGCTCAAGAATCTGAGGCTCTGGAACTCTCCTTCCTTCATCTCCCATGTTTGCCCTTCAAAGGCACTAGATTGTAACTTGAGAATTTCCAGGTTTGCAAGACTCCCAATTGCAGATATATGGCTCCATGGCAGGCGAAAGTCTGAGAGAGTCAATTTCTTCAGATTCGATGGTAGGTTGAACTTGCCATCATTGAGAGGGGTCCCAAAGTAGACTATCTTGAGTGACTCCAAATGAGCTAGAAAATCCAACACTGGAAATTGATTGCAAGTCGTGGAAGAATCCTGTGGTTCATAGAATATGCAACTCAGTTTGCGAAGATTTGGAAACCTCTTCAATATCCTTTCTCCATCCTGACCACAGGGAAGGGACAGGCGGGAAAAACTGATCAAATTTTCTAAAACAGAGCAGTTTTCATACTCTTCATCATCCAAGTTGAAAACAACATGGATTTTCACGTGAAGATGCCTCAGACTTGTCAGGCGCCAAATCGTATTTGGCAAGATGATCTTACCACGCAATCCTTTCACAATAAGAGTTTCCAGTTTCCTGAGGTTGCCTAATGATTGTGGAATAGATGTCACATACCCCCCAACTGCTAAATATCTCAATTGAATCAGTAGTCCAATTTCAACAGGAAAAGAAGCCACGTCGATGCATTCGAAATCCAACACCCTAAGTAATTTGAAGTTGTGCAAAATGAACGAGATGTCATAAGGCCATCTCGTTTCTGAATCTGTAGAGGCAAAAAACACCAAAGAACGGGTGCCCAGGCCATATGGTCTTGACTCAAGAAAATGATTTTGCTTCAAACATACAGCCAACCGATAGGATGCAAATGAAACAGGACGCAAATGATGGTAAAAATCAAATTCAAAACCATAATCTGAACTGGGAAAAGAAGCATATGGGTCATCACACCTGGTTACTAGCTGAAAGAAGTTTGCATCTTTGGTTTTCGACTTACAGAAATCAAGCATAAGAGACTGAAGACGACATGCTTTGACTTTGCCGTTGGATCTTCTTCTGGAGATTATTACCAAGGTTTTGTCAATCAACTCCATCAAAAACTCCTCTGCCAAATCTTCAAAGCTCTTTGTGAGAGTTTTTGGTATTAACCCTTCTGCGAGCCACAACTGAATCAACTTGCTAACAAGAATATCTTTGTCTTTATCAAGAACTCCCATATAGAGAAAGCATGGTTTTAGATATTCCGGCAAGTATTGATAGCTTAGTTCTAGGACTGACTGGCCCTGAGCTTCTGGGTCATTGAGTACCTGGGAGCTCAAGCTGTTTGCTATTTTCTTCCACGAATTTCGGCTCTTTTCTGTCATCTTCAGTATACCAGCTACAGCAACAATTGCAAGAGGCAATCCTCGACATTGCCGCGCAATTTCTTTTCCAACTGCCACTAAGTCTCTGGGGCAACCTTCCTCATTGAATACCTTCATGTTTAATAACCTGAAACTTTCATCCTCAGACAGCTCGCGAAGAGAATGATGTTCTCCATGTGGACTGATTTCCAAGGCCAATCCACAGGAACGAGTGGTCACCAGAATCCTACTTCCATTGGCATCATCCGGGAAACTATTTTTTAAGTCTTTAAAAGCTTCTTCACCCCAAACGTCATCCATAACTATGAGATACCTGTTTCTCAACAAGCATTGACGCAATTTTGCTTGGAGATCTTCATCCCTCATTTGGCGAATCTCTTCAGTAAGCCCATGAATCCCAGTTAGAATTTCAAGCAATAATTTTCTTTTCTCATATACTTGGGAAACACTGCACCATGCACGAATATCGAAGCGGCACGTGACAAATCTATTGTTGTATACTTTCCTCGCCAATAGAGTCTTGCCTAAACCGGGCATTCCAAAAATAGAAACAGTATTTAGACTCATGGATCCTCTAGTGAGCATGGCTATTATCATTTCTTCTTGGTCCCTTAGATCCACCACAATTTCATCGATCGCCGGTGTACCATCCCTTGGAAACGTACCGCGTGAAACGTGGGTCACATTTTCGGGATCTAGGACTTTAGCATCACCGATGGTCAACTGAATTCCACAGGCCTTCTCATTAACAACTCTTAGCTCCTGCAGTACATCATTTAACCAGAAGAAATCCTGCCATTGAGCATCAACCTCAATTGAATCAATCACATACTCCGCTTTATACCCCAAATGGATGATTTGATTACCAATATCTTTCAGCTCCAGATCCCCTTCAATCTGTAACTTTGAAACATCCACAAGAAAAGAACTCAATGACTGGAGATGTCGTTGAATTTCTTCAATGTGGTGCTTCACCAATGCAATTGACGCAGGATCATATTTCAGCAGCTCCACAAGGTTTGTTGACAGAGAATCAACGAAATTCAATCTGAAAGTCGTAGGGAAAGCAAACGGTGGAAATTGGGGAATTATCTTTTTGAGCTTTGCCTCCATCAACTGGTTCATCTTGTCTAAAAGCTCAGAAAATGAAAGGATCATTTCATCTTGTGCGATAAGAAAAGAATAATTGAGACTTGTCAGACTCCTGAAAAAAACTTCAATTGGCTTGAAGGCTCTGAAGATGTCCTCTGTATTCTTCATTCGCTCATCTGAGAGAATTAGTGGAAAGTACTCAAGCTTCTGAAGATGAAGTGCAATTCGATCTTTCCCACCAGCCATGGAAGTTGCGTCATTACCACTCTTCAACAGTAATATATCCGTTAGAAATGACTCTTCCTTGAAAATCACAATCTTAAAAAAAAGTAGGAGAAGTGAGTTCTTCATGATACATCCAGTGATTTTCTTGTCCCTAAATGACTGATGAAGAGATTCTACTTCCTGAAACAACGATTCAGTGAACGCCAACGTCTTTTCCCCACCCTCAATCTTCTCAAGGGGTAAATTTTTGGAATATATGCTCAGATTTCTCGAGATATCTTTCCAATCTGAAAGCATACTGGAGGAGGACGACGAATTGCTGCAAATTTCGCTCATATTATGAATTTGTGCCATGAGGGAAAGCTCCGCTCTGAGAAGACAAATTCTTGTAAGTAACTCAGAACACTGAGGAGAGTCATCCAGTTTGTGCCCCTTGCGACAATTGACTTCAAAGAGCGACGCTATCTCAACCAGCATTGCATTGATTTCTGGAAAGAAACTTTTTACTGCATCCTTGACCTTTAATTTAGTAGTAGCATCAACAAAAAGAGTTAAAAGGGAAGCCACCTCTTTTCGAAAATCACCACGTTCAGAATTGAAGAGATAGTTGCAGAATTGCATAACAACATCCATCTCTTCATCCTTGTTATTACTAATACAGCAAAGAGTCAAAAGGAAATTGAGATGGAACCTCATGAAATTGGGATTTCTTGGATGAACCTCATGGTGCAAATCCTCCACGAACTTACTCAACTCACCTTTTTCCACTTGGATCCGGCCTGTTTTGCAATCCAACCAGTGATCAGAACACCGATTGGCAATCCGAAGGACCAAGGATACCACATGACCGAGGAAGGCATCAATACTAGGCAGTGCATCATCTGCTCCTGCTCCTCCCAGGTATGGGAATTTGGGATCGCTGAATAACAGACCAAAGTAACGCTTGATGGACTTCAGACTGTTGTAAAAGGAAAAGACTTGATCCCGTATACCAAAGTGTTCATGACCCAAGTGATCTACCACAATCTGACTGATTCTGAGCACGTTTGATTGTGCATGGCTGACAAATTTTGGCCAAAAAGAAACATCAAGAGTTGCAGGAGACATCAGCTGGAACTGGAGTGAGCTGCTGATGGTGCTCCCTCCTCCAGTTGAGCACGAGTACAGATAGTCAAGAGCTTCTCCAATTTCAGCCATCAATCGCTTGGTTTTTGTTTCACAATCACGAGCCAGAAGGAGAAGGAACTGTGATTCTGGACCCTCGTGGTCCTCCTCCTCCTCCTCTGCATCAGAAAAACGATTAAGGTAGAAACCTCCAGTCCTTGTAGATCTGCTCCGCAGTGACCGATCGGCGCCGTAACCCTTCTAAAGCAGAATCAAGGCGATCCAAACTGGAAGCAGCAGCAGCAACGGCAGCAGAATCCATCATCTTCAAACTTCAGTTATCCTTTGGGATTTTCTCACTCAAATTTTAAGGATGCAGAAGTCGTCTTACAACAATGCTTTTACCAACAATAATTGACAACTAATTGTTCAGATGATTATTTTATATTTACGTAACTATCAGCCATGTGAGCTGATGTTTGCAACTCAACCACCCTCTCTGAATTTCAAGGTTATAAAATGAAATTTTATGGAAATGAAGACTTGAGACTCAGCATGTGGAACAGCACGGCTTACTGGTTGAGAATTGAATAAATATTAGCATAAAATGATCCTTCCCTGGTTGAAACCTTTACGGGTCTAAGATTCGGACATAATCTACTATTTTACCTGCTTTTCTTCTTCCGTTCAGATAAATTACTAGCAACGCTCTTACTATCGCACATCGTTCAGATAAATTACTATCCCACGTCGTTCTTGGGGGTTAAGGATCGAGTAGTTAAGTCCCCGAGGGATCTCAAAAGTTACCGGCTTTTGAGGTTACTTCTGAAATTAGGTTTATCTATCTAATTTCTTACTTCTATAAAAAAAAGAAAAAGGAAAAAGCTCCATGGCTTGGCACATTAACACATAATCCTACCGTTTTAAAATATTCACACAATTCCATTGAAGTTTATATGAAGTGAATATCTAATAGAATGCAATATATGTAACGTGGTTAATTGAAATGCAAATATTATTGAGTGTGTATGAATAGGAGATTATTTGAAATATTATTTATAATAATTATCATAACACATTTATTATATGTGATATATGTCAAATAAAAGATAGTTGATTAAAAATTTTAATTGTAATCTAAACAAAATAATATATCAAAACATGATGACTATCCAAACAAACCTGAAGTGTTTGTTTTGATAGGGAGACGGGTGGTAATCGTGGGCGGATTCGGTGGCTTTGTTTTTCACCCTTTGTGTCCGGGGAAATAAAATATTAAATAAATTCAAATGGTGAAGAAAAAAAAGTAAAGAGCATTTTCTTAAGGGTTAATCACATTTTATCCCCTTAAAGAATACCCCATTTCTCAGTTTACCCCCTAACCTTTAATTTTGCTCACTTAACCCCCTTTAAGACAAAATTGCCCTTGCATTATTTTGACTTTTCATTTACCTTGTTTTCCTTTCTTTTATTTCATTTTCTCTTTCCCACAAAAATCTTCACCTTAATGATTGAAATTAAAAAAGAGGAATTGCAGAGATCTATCTTCTCCTTAAATGATTAAAAAAAATATTCAAATCACTTTCCTAAAATACATTTTTTTTAGCCTTTCAATTCTTTTAATTTTGGATTTTCCTCTTTCCTTTCTAGTTTCTCATTTTATTCCCATGAAAATATTTTAAGATGAAATTGTGACCTAATTAATAATCATCAATTGAAATTTGTGACACGTGGCATCATACAAAAAATTAAAATTAGTTTTTGATGACTTTTAAACTTTCACCAAAAAATATGCAATTACAAACTCAAAACAAAAATTTTCGTTGAAATAAAATTTCTATTGGGAAGGATGAAAGAGAGAAGAAAGAGAAAAGGAAATAAAAGAAAGGAAAACAATTTCATTTTATGATATTTTCTTGAGAATAAAATGAGAAACTAGAAAGAAAAGAGGAAAACCCAAAATTAAACTAATTAAAAGGCTAAAAAAATTATATTTTAGGAAAGTGATTTGAATATTTTTTTAATCATTTAAGGAGAAGATAGATTTCTGCAATTCCTCTTTTTTAATTTCAATCATTAAGGTGAATATTTTTGTGGGAAAGAGGAAGAATTAAATAAAGAAGAAAGAGAAAAAGAAATAAAAGATAGGAAAACAAGGTAAATGAAAAGTCAAAATAATGCAAGGGCAATTTTGTCCTAAAGGGGGTTAAGTGAGCAAAATTAAAGGTTAGGGGGTAAACTGAGAAATGGGGTATTCTTTAAGGGGATAAAATGTGATTAACCCTTTTCTTAAAAATGACCTCTTGTGGGGGGCATGTTTGACAGTTACAATAACAAGATTGAGGGTGAACTAGTCGCATCACTCTTTTTCCCACCAGATTTAGCATGATTTGAAATCATGCGGGAAATTAGAAATAGGAGGCAAAGAATTGCAGAAATTGAAAGATTAAGATGCAAAGCATAATTTAGGAATAGTCGACAGGTTCAGAGTGCAATTAATCCTAAATAGAAACACCTTTACTCAACTTTGGACAAAAAGACAACAACGATTAGTCAATTGAGTCTATTCCAAACATTTCTAGGCCCACAATAAATCTTTTGTCCCCTATTCAGCCGGATTCCCTCGGTCCTCGTAAGTCCAGCACTGGGCGACTAAAACGATAACTACGGCAAGAGTAAGACCCTAAAATGCTGTGTTTTCAGAATCGAACCGGATATAACTCGGCCAAACTCAGGGATTAATGGATTTAATCGAATTTGATCAGGGTTGAATTCGATAATGTCATAAATAAAAATTATTTAAAAATTAAAATATTATATGTGAAATATCTAATAACATGTTAATATTAATAAATGTATATTCATATATATTTGATATTTCAAATATATTTAACAAGAAAATACAAAGAAATTAGAACAATCAAGTAACAATTTATATTATTTAATGAGTATTAACAAGTTTAGAATTAAAATTATGGATTTAATTGAAAAATAACACCAAACTTTAAGACAACATTGATAAAGTATGAAATATTTGAAATATATTAATAATTTTTAACAATCTAAGGATCAAAACATAATATTAAAAAAGTTCGAATTTTTTTTTAAATTGCTTGATTGAACCAGAAAATTCGGATTTTTTCGCGGTCAAACCCGATCAAATCTGGTCAAATTCGATTTTGACCGGATTTGACTGGATTTTTACTTACCCGATTTTTAGCATAACTCGGCCGGACACTTGACCGGTTCCTGGTTCGATCGATCGAAATGGCTGGTCCATCCAAGTTTTAAAACATAGCTAAAAGGAGGTTAAGAAACCACCACGCCAAAAGGTTGGTGGCCATCACCAATACATTAAGGCTTGATAGGGTGGGAGACAAGGTTCAATTTGCCACAATTAATGTGGCCTTACTTTAAAAAAAAAAAAAAAATTTAAGCGGATGCGTAGTACAACCATCTGATCCAATGGTGATTCAATCCCCTCCGGATTACCCAGAATCTTTTCAGACCCTCTCCCTCCTCATAGAGTAGGAAGCTATCATATCGACAAAAAAAAAAAAAAAAGAAATCTAGAAGGAGGTTAAGAGATTAAATTTCTTGACCTGTATTTTTCTTCAGAATTTTTTGAAAAATTTACTAGTAGCTACAAAGATACTCATCTAGTTTAATAGCAGTTTAGCTCTTTCCGAATTTTTCATTGATTCTTTTGGATTCACCTCTTCCCCTTAGTGTAAAGTGAGAATAGAAGTAAGTGTAGGATCTATTCTGTTATTAAAAAAAAAAATGACTAAACAGATCAAATGCCAAGATACCGCGTTTACCGTTGCAAGGAACAACTCCCAAGATATCGTGTTACAGTAGCAAACACCAGCCATTGCCGACATCGTATCCTAGATGTTTAAATTGCGCACTCTCACTTGGGCATAAAAATCAATTAATAAATCGTCGAGTGTAGAAGTTGGATATTGAAACTTACGATAGTTTTTTTTTGTTGTTGATGATTTATCATATTTGGATTGCAATTATCTGGAGTTTTGTAGAAAATGTATTGTACTGATTTGATATAAGTGAAGTAAAAAAAAAATTAGAAAATGTATTCACGGAGAAAATTTTTGGTGCAAAATGACTTTTCAAACAAAATTTTGGGAGAAATACAGTCTTAGTATCTTATAATTGTTTTGTGTGTTAAACCAAAATAAATTTGCTCTCCAAAATTTCTAATTTTAGGCACATTTAAGAAAATTGATGGAAAATTAACAATGACTAACGGTCAAAATCAACTTGATATTAATCAATAATTTTGACTTTGCACTTTGGGTCTTTTTATTTAGAATTTGGATCATTATGCTCCCTTAGGTAACACAACAAAATAAAGGAAGAGATGGGTAGGGTGATTCGGGGGAAGAGAGTGTAATTCCACTTACACTGAAAAAAAAGCAAAAAAAAAAAGTTGACTATAATTCTGGTGTAATGAGACTCAAAATCTAGCAAATAGCCATTTGATCTATTAGTCACCACTAAAACCTTAAATCTTGGTTGTAGTAGCTTTCTTCAATGATATTTCTTGTGGATTAGATTTTTCTCCCTCTAGAATAGATTATAAAAATATTATTATTGTCACAAAAAAAAATGAACTCAAAAATCTAATATCAAAATTTGTAGAGCGAAAAGTTAAGCCTTGTTTGGATTGCTGTTTTCCGTCAAAAAATTACGTCGTTTTCTGTGATCACATTTTCCTATTACCTTTTTTCCTCACATATATCAAATCGCTACAATAATTTTTCCATGAAAAATCATGGAAAATGCAATCCAAACAAGGCCTTAGTCTCGAAAGTAGTCCCAATTTTACCTTACCACTACAAATTCCAACAAACTTGGGTAGCTTAAAGTTAGGGCCATCAGTGTTGGGCTAATATAAATTTGAATTTCAAGGCCACTAGGCCCAATAAACATTATTTAATCCAAAAAAAAAATCCACCAAATATATGCCCCGTTTGACAAGTGAGTTTTTTGAGTGTTTGTCTAAAATTTTACTATAACTTACTGTAAAAATTTTTTAAAATGTGTAAATTTTTGAATATTTTGAGGTGTATAGTTTAAAACTTTTGAAAAGTTTTTTGAGATTACTGCAGTTAAAATTTTAAAAAAACTTGTAGCAGCCAAACTTAGCAAAAAAACTTGCTTGCCAAACAAGGCCATATTAACAAATTCTATTGACCAACTTTGGTTTGAGTTTTTATGATTACTTAACTAATAAAAACATTATTTACCTGAAGTTTTAAACTTGGCCCTCAAGATTTTCCCTTACCCACTCCATGTGGATCTTCGCTGTCACTTTTTGATGCTAACTTCTATATTTACATTAAGTGTTCTATTTATTTAAATGATCTCATGTTATTTATCTAATTTTTTTTTACTCTCATATGATGAGTGAAAGTGACACTGAATTTGACATCGAATAGTAGAGCAAAGTATTCCAACTATTACCCACTCCTTACTCCTCTCTTATAAGAAACTTGGAGTTCAACGTTCTAGCCTTTCTCTGTGTAAAGTTTGGAGTTCCGTTTAATAAGTAAATAAATAAATAAAACCTTCTCAACCATGATGAAAAAGATCCCAAAAAGAAAATCTTAATTAACAAAAAAAAAAAACTACCCAGATAAATCAAAGATAAAAACAAGGGGAAAAATTGAATAGGCCCTTGATGATAACAACAGACTTCATCTCAATTTCATCAAACAAGCATCCAGAATACATGGAGTAGCTTTCTGCTTCTCAAATTCAGCATAAACAGCCCACTATATGATAGCAAACTGGCACAGCTAAATAATAAGTCATATCGCTTCATTAGTTCCAAATCAAAATGAGAGATATGAGCTCATCTAGAATATAAGATTAGACAGTTCCAACTGAGTTTTAAAGTAAAAAATCCCAGCCTTCCGTGAGCACCAATTCCCCTGGATATCTAAGTCAAGGCTTTTTTACAAACTGAACCTGGCAAAAGTCAAAGAAAAATGCTCTCAGATAACAAGAATAAAACATGCATTAAGATAGACAAGTGGCTAATTATGAAATTAGCATTAAGATTGACAAGTCTAAGAGAAGTAAATATGGAACTACTACTAGAGACAAGAGAATAACATGAATTGATCAGTTTTAAGTCTTATAACAACAACAACAACAACAACACTAATAATAATAATAAAGGTGAATGCTTGATTAATTAAATGTTGAATTTTATATACACTAACAACACATATACACTATCACAGTAGATGTATGACACATATGTAAAATTTGGATTTCAAATTCAAATTCAGATATGTAGTTATGCATTCAATGGTGATAATGGATAAATTCTTATATGTACAGAGGATTAATCCTAATATATACCAAATCTTTCGAATGCAGCAATTAATGTTTTCTTAGAATTTTTCAGCTAGATGTACGTCCTCGAGTAAATAAAATTGGATAAATTACTGAAAATCCATTAGATAGACTAACAAGTGAGCGAAGAAAAAAAGTAACCTGATGAAGAATGATGCTCAGGATTTTGAATATGAACTCCTGATAACGACTTTGATCTCCCCAGCTTCTTCCCTAATGTTGTTTGCCGACTCTTCTGCAGACTGCCCACACCAATGCACTTCAATTGTTTCCAGCGAAGTTATGTTCGCTAAGTCATCAGGAAGTTCCTTAAGTTCTTTGCAATTTTGTATGACAAGTCTTTGAAGTCTGGGAAGTTGTTCGTAAGAGGCAATCCATTCCACAATGTTCAGTGTGTCTAAGCACAAGAATTTGAGTTTCTGGAACTCTCCATCCTCCATCTTCCATGTCCGCCCCTCAAAAGCACCAGAAAGTAACTTTAGAACCTCTAGGTTTTCTAGTTTTCCAATTGTAGAGATATGACTCCATGGTAGGCGAAAGTTTGATAGGGTCAATTTCTTTAGATTCAATGGGAGATTGAACTCGCCATTATTGAGAGGGGTCCCATGGTAAAGTATCTTGAGCGACTCCAAATGAGTTAGACGGATCAATCTGGGAAACTGATTGCGATTCGTGGATGAATCTTGTGATTCAAAAAATATGCATCTCAATTTGCCAACATTCTGAAACCTGATTATTATCCTGTCTGCTTCCTCGCCACAAGAAAGAGATGGGCAAGATAAGCTGACCAAGTTCTTTAATTCAAAGCAACCACCACGCTGCTCTTCATCATCCCGGTTGAAAGAAATGTGAGGATTAACATGAACATGCCTTAAACTTTTCATCTGCCATATAGTATTCGGTAACATGATCATACCACGCAATCCTTTCAGGATAAGAGTTTCCAATCTCCTGAGGTTGGATATCGATTGTGGAATAGATCGCAAATAACCCCCAACTGCTAAGTATCTTAATTGAACCAACTGTCCAATTTCTGCAGGAAAAGAGACACCAACATTGATGCATTCAAAGTCCAACACCCTGAGTAATTTGAAGTTCTGCCAAATGAAGGAGATGTCATAAGGACATCTTGGTTCTGAATCTGAGGAGGCAAAGAACAACAACGAACGTGTGCCCAGACCAATAGGTTTTGATTCAACAAGATGGTTGCGCTTCAAAGATATTGCCAACCGATAGGATGAAAATGATACAGGACATGAATTATGGTGAAAATCAAATTCAAAACCATAATCTGAACTAGGAAAAGAAGCATATGGTTCACTAGACCTGGTTACTAGCTGAAAGAGGCTGGCATCTTTGAGCTTTGACTTGCAGAAATCAAGTATGAGATCATGAAGGCGACATGATTTAACCTTCCCGTTGGATCTTCTTTTGGAGATTATCACCAAGCTTCTGTCAATCAAATCCATCAAGAAATCCTCCGCAACCTCTTCGGAGCTTTTCTGCTCAGGTCTCGGTATGAACCCTTCTGCAAGCCAAAACCGTTTTAACTTGCGGACAAGAATATCTCTTTCTTCACTCAGAACCACCATATAGCATAAGCATGATTTTAGATGTTCTGGCAGGAGGTTGTAGCTCACCCCCAAGACTTCCTTACATCGAGCTTCCCGAGCTTCTGGATTATCAATTACTTCTGAGCTTAAGGTGTCTGCTAATTTTTTCCAAGATTTTGGGTTCTTTACTGGGGCTTTCAGTATACCAGCTACAGCAACAAGTGCCAGTGGTAATCCTTGACAGCGGCGGGCAATTTCTTTTCCGACTTCCAGCAACTCCTTGGTGTAACTTTCTCCTTTGAACACCTTCTTTTCCAGCAACTCCCAACTTTCCTCCTCAGAAAATTGGCGAAGAGAATGAGGAACACTATCTGGTTCAATTTCCAAGGCCACACTACGGTGGCGACTGGTTAAGAGAATTCTGCTTCCGTTGGAGTCATTCGGGAAGGCCTTTTTCAAGTCATTCACAGCTCCAGCATCCCAAACGTCATCCATAACTATGAGATACTTGTTTCTGAGCAAGGCCTTTCTCAATTTCTCTTCAAGAGCATCATCCGTCATTTGGTGTATCTCATCGGTAGGCCCGTGAACGCCTGTTAAGATCTCAATCAACAGCCGCCTTTTCTCATATGCTTGGGAAACGGTGCACCATGCACGCTGATGGAAGCAATACATGACACTTTTACTGTTGTATACTTTCATTGCCAATGTTGTCTTGCCTAAACCAGGCATTCCAATAATAGAAACAATATCTAGTGCCTTTGGAGTTCCTCTAGTAAGTTTTTCTATTATAAATTGTTCTTCATCTTTGAGATCCACAACAAATTCATCAATTGTTGGTGTGCTATCCCTTGACAACTTGTCAATTGGAACTTGGTTGACAATTTTGGAATCTCGAACTTCTGCCTCGGGGGTTGGCAAATGAATTCCACAGGCCTTCTCTTTAACAAGTCTTAAGTCCTCCAGTACATCAATTAACCAGAAGAAATTTTGCGGTTGAGCATCTACCTCAATTGAGTCAACAATACACTCCACTTGATATGCCACATCATTCACACAATCACCAATATCTTTCAGCTCTGGATGCTTTTCAATGTCCAATTTTGTAACATTCACCAGAAAAGTATTCAGCAACTTCAGATGTAGTTGAATCTCTTCAATGTGGTGCTTCACTGATGCAATTGACGTGGGAAAGCATTTCAGCAGCTCCTCAAGGTTTGTCAACAGAAAATCCAGGAACCTTAGTTTGCAAGTCTTAGGGAAATCAAACATCAGAAATTGGGGAATAATCTCTTTGAGCTCTGCCTTCATCAGATGCTTCACCTTATATAACAGGTCAGAGAATGAAATGATCATTTTATCTTGTGTGATAGAAAAAGAGTAAGAGAAACTTGTCAGCTTCCTAAAGTACAAGCAGGATCTGAACACGTCCTCTCTGTCTTTCCTCCGCTTATCCAACAGAATCTGTGAAATATACTTGAGCTTTTGAAGATGTAGGGCAATCTGCTCTCTCCCACAAGCCAAGAAAGTTGACTCACCACCGTTCTTCAACCGTAGCAATTCCATCAGAAATGTCTCTTCTTTGAAAATCACAAGCTTAGAAACAAGTGGGAGAAGTGAGTTCTTCACTGCAGATTTTGTGATTTCTTGGTGCCTAAATGACTGATAAAGAAACTCTACCTCCTGGAATATTGACTCAATAAACGCCGACATCTTTTTCCCATCTTCTATCTGCTCATGGTATAGATTTTGGAAATATCTGCTCAAATTTCTGGGGAGCTCCCTGCACTCATATATAATATCTTCCCAATCTGAAAGCATAGCGGAGGAGGAAGAAAGGGAGGAACTGCTTTTGTTGCTGCTGTTGATGTTATGGATCTGCACCACGAGTAAAAGCTCTGCCTTGAGGAGACAAATTTTGGTGAGTAACTCAGAACACTGAGGAGAGTTGTCCAGTTTATCCCCCTCCCTGCTGTTCGCCTCAAAGAGAGACGCTATCTCTGTGAGCACTGCATTGAGTTCTGGAAAGAAACTTTGTACAAAATCCCTATCCTCCAGTTTAGCGTTAGTTTTGACAAAAAGGGTTACCAGGGAAGATACCTCATCTCGGAAATCTCCACCTTCGAAGTTGAACAGATAATAGCAGAATTGCATCACAAAATCCACGTCCTCGTCCTTCCTGTGACTGCTGCGGTAGATAGCCATAAGGAAGTTGAGATGGAACTCCATAAAGTGGGGATTCCTAGGATGAATCTCGTGATGCAAATCCTCCACGAACTTAGTCAACTCACTTTTTTCCACCTGGATTCGGCCTGTTTTGCAATCCAACCAGTGATCACAACACTGATTTGCAATTCGTAGGACCACAGATACCACATGGCCAAGGCAAGCATCAACACTAGGCAATGCATCATCTGTTGTTGCTCCTGCTTCCGCTCCTACTCTCCCAGGGGATGAGAAATTGGGGTGACTAAATAATGGAGCAATGTAATGCTCGAGTGATTTGAGGCTGTCGTACAAGGAATAGACACGGTTCCTTACACTAACGTGTTCACTGCCCAAATGTTCAGCCGCAATCCGTGAGATCCGGAGCACGTTTGATTGCAACTGCTTGACAAAACTTGGCCAAAAGGAAACATCAAGAGGTGCAGGAGACAGCAGATGGATCTGGAATGAGCTGTTGTTGCTGCTGTCTCGGCCACTTGAAGACCAGGACAAGTACAAACGGTCAAGAGCTTCTCCAATTTCAGCCATCAAAAGCTTGGTTTTTGTGCTGCAATCACGGGCTAATTCCAGGAGGGATTCTGATTCAGGGGACTTCTTGTCGCCCTGTTTCTCTCCATTACAAAAACGAACAAGGTCCTGGGCAATCTCCTCAGCAGTAGCTTCAATCTTCAGGCCGGCTGCAGCACCGCTTCTCTTGTGATAGGATTGCCAGAGAATCCTCAGATACCTCCAATCATTGTAAACTTTTCCTACTGCAAATGATGGAGACAGTAATCCTTCCAACGCATAATCAAGGCGATCCAAACTGGAACCAGCAGAAGCAGCAAAAGCAGGAACAGAAGCCATCATCACCAAGCTTTGCAAAGAATCTCCCTCTATCAGGTTATAACTTTTTCTGTAAATTGTGCTTGCAAATTTTCTGTATTGATCCCAGGACAAAGAAAATTATTGAGGGACTATTGATTCAGACAAATTTTTATGTGTATTTCACTGTCAGCCATGTGAACAGATGTTTACATCTCACCGACTGCGATTTTATCTTTTGTGACAGCACGACTTTCGGTGTTTCACGGTCTTGGTAGGCACAAAGCATTGATTGATTTAGTAGAGTATTTTAATGCTAATGAGTCCCAGCCCTGTTGGATTTCACCATTACAAATGGAAATTAAGACTTTTGAACAGAAATTTATTGGGTTAATGTTAGTCACACTTTGCCGCCCATGAGCTTTCTAATAATCACATTCTGTCCCCCCAAAAACTTCATATTATATTTATGCTTTACCCCTCAGTTTGAAAGCATTCGGTTTTCAATCCAAAATTATGATATGGTAAAGTATGCCTACCTTGCAACATCAAGTCTATTACAAATTATCACTTCTTTTGATTGAAATCATTGGTTATATTAAAAGAGTATATTTTCCATGCTCAACTAAGTATGACTATTGTTAAAGAGTTTTTGGTGATTAAGTTCTATTATAATGTTAAATGAGTATGGTATCTAAATTTGTATTTTCAATAATTAATAACACAAGGACAATAACATGTTTTTTTTTTTTTTGGGGGATGGAGTTAAGTTTTCTAACATATGATTACTTTTCATGAAGGGTAAAGTTTGTATTTTTCTTCTTTTTTTTTTTTCGGCAAATGCTTTTGTTTAATCTTAGAGAAATAAAAATGTTTTTTTTTTATTCGGGATTTGCTTTTTCGAATTATAGCAAGAATTTACTCCCACAACTACTTACGCGCTGATGAAATAACCCACAAGAAGGGCAGATTTGTGACTAAAGAGCTGGTGTATGGCTCACTTTCATCCTTTGCCACTTGATAATTTACAATTTTACATAACTCAAATATTTTTTTAAAATAGCAAAAGACAAATAAAAGTATTATAAGATTCAGAGTTGAAAAATGTGATTACCCCAAAGCTCAGATGGTTAAGTATGATTAAACCAAATTCATTTTCATCGCGTGTGCAACACCATGCTATTCGTTAATATTATACTATTGATTTCACAATCGTCATGTTAGGGACTAATTAGTACGTAATCGGCAATAGATTATTGTTAAAGTGAATTGCCCTTCCCAGGCAAAAGCTTTTGTTGAAGTCTTTATCTAGATTATAACGTAGGTTTGAATGTCAACCACAGCCTTTGAATTCCATGATAAAAGGTGAAAATGATTAAATGAAGACGTAGGACTAAACTTTTATTTTCAGCATTGTATTAAGCATCGGCAAGGGAATACGTTACATTATCCCTTTAAATATAAATCATCATGTAGTGCTAAACACATAATCAGTTTCTAAACACGAAATATAACCTTGTTTCTCAAGAAGCTTGTGAGAAGTTTGGTAAAAACCAAGATAATCTATACTATATTAAAAGTACCAATACAATTTGGTGATTTAGCAATATAATCTTTCTTTTCTAAAATACCCTTATTAGTAATATTAATGACTTTAATCTATTTCCAAACATAAATGGGGCTTTCTACGTATTACCAACCTTTAAGTATTGTTTTAGAAGTAGAATCCCTTATGGAATAGAAACTGATTTGGAAAGCTTATAGGTTAATTTACTTGAAAAAAAATTTTCCTTTAAAATTTAATGACGGGCATTAGTTAGGCCATATTCTTAAAAATCTCGATTAATTTCGTGTATATCAACCTTCATAAATTTTTAAAAATTCCTGCTGAGTTGATTAAAAACTTTTATAAATTCAATGTCTCATTACATAACATTACATTAAACAAGTTGCATATCACTATATCATTGGATGCATATCCAAGTACATAAAATAATTATACTAAGAACATAGACATAACTGAATTTATTCAAGTTCCTCAGAATCATATGTTGTTTTTCTTTTTCATGATGTTACTGATTTCAAAAGATACGTCCAAAGCTGGACATTGTTGACATATATCTAATTCTAAATTAATATTAATAGAATAAGTGACCCATTAATGACTACATTATGTTCTCAAGGTCCGTTTCTTTTTTTTTTTTTAGGATTATTCTTATAATACCGACCTTTAAATTTCATCTAGCAAAATAAACTTGCTGATGTAAATTTCCATCCTGAATGTAGTTTTAAAAATAGAATCCAAAATTAGTGAAGAACAAGGAAAAAAACTTTAGTTGGATAAATTAGAAACTATACATGAATTGAAAAACAAAATTTGTGTAAATTAATTTTAGGAAAAATCGTGCAAAATGTCCCTTACATTTCATCAAATGAACTTTTTGTCCTTCATTTTTAAAATAGTAACTTTACATCCATTACAAAATTAAGTTGGTAAAATTTGTAAATACTTTCTACCACGATTGTACTTATCACTTGAAAGCATAATTGTGCATTCTTTTTGAAAACATGTTTTGGTAACTCACTTTGAACAACCCAACAAAGAAAATCATCCAAATTACATTGTTTGAGATATAGTAATTTTCAAACATCCACAACGATCTAATAATTTTCAAACCAATCTTATGGTCCAATGATAGGGTATAAATTGTTAGTAATTTTATTATTAATTTCCCGTTCTATCCCGGACAAATATTGTGTTAATTGCTGATATTTACTCATATTTGGTATCTGGACCCAATTCCAGGAGTGGAGCAGATAACTACAAAAAGAGGGACTTTTGGATGCAAATTTGGGAGACTCCAGCAGAAAGCCTCAATTGGCTGGGACCACAAGAGCTAAGAGCTAGTAAAGGCACGTAAAAAAGCCTGAGGAGCAAGAGCTAATTCGGTAGCTTGTGGCCAATTGGTGGGGACCGCGCAGAGGCTCAAAACAAGGAGATGAATTCGGCAGCTTGTGGCCAATTGGTGGGGACCACTGGATACCTTTCTTTTGGTTTTAAATAGGGAACAAGCGTACAGAAGAGGGGAGCTTTGATTTTTCTTTCGCTAGTTTTAGTCTTGTAGGGTAGTTCTAGTTTCTTCTTCTTCTTCCTTTTGACTTGCCTCTGAGACACGCCAGGTGTTCGACAAAATTCCCCAACGGGAAAAACATCCTTCATTCCTTACTTTTTAGTACAAAACAATGCCTTCGCAATTTATTAACTCGTGTGGTGATTTAATTATGCGGCGTGGCTAAGTCTTTCATCTAGTCAAGGGTCAACTCGACGGCGCAGTCCCGAAAATCTGTGAGATCTAATTATTTTTCACGTGTTCCTTTATCTATTAATATTTGCATGTTGTCTGATTAAATTTTCATGGGATTATTTTATTAATTGGATGTCAAGGGCCCGATGTTCAATGTGATTTATTAATCTCGTGCCAATTTAGTCAATTAAATCCGTAATTGTTTGATTGATTAATATTAGTGGCAGCTGGTGTGCTTACACATTAGGGGAACGTGCAATCTAATTTAAATAACCCTCGTAGCGTGTTATTGGTTAGGGCTAGGTTTTTCTAATATTAATGCAATTGGGAAATTAATTCCTATGGTCGTACCTAGGAGTATTTGCTGATTAGGGGTAATCAACGGTCGTACCTTGGTTATCAATAATTTAAGGAAAAATTGGTCATCAGACTATAACTAGCCTATTAATAAATTAAGTGAACCTCTCCTGCATCCATGATCGGATAAATGGACTGTGCCTGAGTAGTTGCATCATTGGCTAGAATTTATTTATTCCTGACTAAATTCCTGCTATATTTGTGCTAGTGATTTATTCATTTTTAATTAAATTGTCTAATTATTTTTAGTTTCATTCCGGTGAAATCCCCCCTTATCAATTGGACTTTAAAAAGAGACAAATATCTCCAGTCCCTGAGGAGACGACCCTACTTGCCACTGTCTACTATTCAGTAATTTTTGTCAATTAATTAATACTGGTATATCGGATTAAGCAAACTCTTCGGGAACAGGATGAATCAAGTAACCCATTGCACACCTAGAGTCCCTGCTCCAGTACCTAGGATTAATTATTGACTGCTTTTAGTGGTAGCTAGGTTCTATATTTATTACTATTATTGCACAGGCTGACGACCTGTCAATTTTTGGCGCCGTTGCCGGGGACTGGCGTTATTATTTGTTTCTTTTTAAATTCATTTTGTGTCCTAATTTGCTGGTTTTCTTCTAGTGTATGCCTCGATCTTCTCGTACAGGTGATTTGATTTTTGACCACGAGATAGAGAAGACCGCGCGTAGAACGAGAAAGGAAACCAGACAGCTCAGAGAAGAGCACTCCAGGGCTACATCTCAAAGACCCGAGCCAGGAGTTGATCCAACAGATTCGTTTGCTGACACTTCAAGTGACTCTGATCAGGAGGAAGGCACCATGGCTAATGCACAAACATTAAGGGAGTTGGCTGCTCCTGATTTAACTCAGCAGCCTTTATGCATTACTTTCCCCGCTTTAAATGACAACATTCCATTTGAACTAAAATCTGGTCTGATTCAGCTTTTACCCTCTTTTCATGGTTTACCAGGTGAAGAGCCGTATAAGCATCTGCAGGAGTTTGATGTCGTGTGCAATAGTATGAAACCCCCGGAAATCACAGAGGAGCAGATAAAAATGAGGGCATTCCCCTTCTCCTTGAAAGATTCTGCAAAGGATTGGCTTTACTACCTGTCACCATGTAGCATCACCACGTGGGGCCAATTGAAGAAAAAATTTCTGGATAAATATTTTCCTGCGTCCAGGGCTGCAAGTCTAAGGAAGGAAATTTGTGGGATCAAGCAGCATCCCGGGGAGTCACTTTACGAGTATTGGGAACGGTATAAGAGTTTGCTGCGCAGGTGCCCCCATCACCAAATAAGTGAGCAGTTGATCATACAATATTTCTATGAGGGGCTCATTTTTAGAGACAGGAGCATCATTGATGCTGCAAGTGGAGGGGCACTGGTGAACAAAACCCCTCAGGAAGCACGGGAGCTAATAGAGGGGATGGCAGAGAATTCACAGCAATTCAGTACAAGAGAGGATGCCCAATACGTAGGGTGAACGAGATAGAGACACCCTCCATACAGCA